GTTTTGATTTTTTCACCATGTACAATGTAAATAGCTAATATACTTTTTTAAAAGCCAATAAGAACATTGATAGAATTCTTCTACATAAGTACAATACTATGTCTTTGATGATAAAATACTATGTCTTTGATGATAATATACTATGTCTTTGTGCTAGAACATTGTGTTCATTGGCGAGCGAGCGCAGCGAGCCATGGTTCACGGCGTGAACCACATGGGATTGCATAGCAATTCTAGGGGGTTGGCGAGCGTTAGCGAGCAGGGGGCGGAGCCTCCTAGTATTATCGAATATCATAATTCTTTTGTTTTTATTTTTAAGAAATTAATCCTTACTTGTTTTTTCGTTCAGAATTCAGTAATTATTCAATTTAACTTTATTATTTATGTGAAATAATAATGATAAAAAAAATAGTGTTTTAAAAGTATTTTTTTTTGTTTAATTTATTTAGCACTTTGTTTTAAGCACACAAATAATTTTTAACGAACTTATTTTTTAAATTTTCTTTTTATATTGTTAGGTAAATATATTGATAAATTTCAATTTTGTTTATTTTTTTATTATTTATTTTTAAACTAAGAAATCTTTCGATATTTGCCCGATCATTTTTAGAAAATATAACATTAATATCTTTCTTAAGCAAAACATTTACATCAAATTCATAAATTGATTTTAATCAATCTGAGTATGAAGTTTTGATAGAAATCCGACTTTCTGCGTATGTACAAGTAAATGAATTTCAAAAATACTATATCGCGATGCAAAACTGACGATGCATCACGATATAAAATCCTAGTCAGCACTGTGAACTATGTGTTAGCGCACTTCCAAATCTAAATTCAAAATATCTAAATTCAAATTAAAATCAAAATACCACAAGCTTTTGTAACTGTAGTAAAATGTTTGTAAATAGTTTCACCTGTGTCTGATAATGCTTTTGGTAGAACAAGTACTCCAGCACCTGCCATATTTCCTACTATAAAATAAGTTGTCATCCAAAAAGATAAGCCGTCTGGCTGGGGTGCTAACGGGGCCGATGTTGCTTCAGAATTAGTGATTCTATATCTCATCATATTAATATTCCTAAAAAATATACAAGTAAAACGAATTTCAATTTTTTTTTAATTCCATCATCAATCAAAAGATATTTTGCTAAGCATTCGGGTGCTAATATTTATGATTTTAGCGTCCTTTGCAAAACAGTAACGTGTTAAAGACGAATCAACAAACATTTGAGTTCTTGCTGAATTATTTATTTATTTTACTACTCTGATGAAATGGTCTGCTCTGCTTTTTCATAGGGGGAAATGAGTGTTGTTCTAAGTTTTTTATGTCCGCACACTTTTCGACTAGATTAACTTAATCGACAAGATCAACTTCCACACTATAACCGCAAATAAAGCGTTGTAAGAATCATAAAAAAAACATGCTAACATAAGTATCAATAAAAGAAGCAGACGATAATTTTGGAACTTCTGTACGTTGATTGTTTTCGAGTTTTTTCTTCTTCTTTTAGCAGTGCACATTTTTAATGTTTCTACATAATATTAATTTAAAGTATTTTTATGATTAACTTATTCTTAATTACTGTCTTGGCAGAGATTTCAATGTAAGTATGAATACTGAAGAAGGAAAGAATTATGTGTCTTCTTAAATGTATATTGGATAGAATGGAAAACCAAACCATCTCATTAGAAGACCAAAGAACATACATCAATTGATGCCGTTTTTGCAACCCATGACTTGATAGGTTGTAGCGTTTGTGAGTCTATCAAGAAAATAAAACAGCCATTTGACCAATGGATAACCAGTGATCGCAAAAATGAGATCACAAACTTCTCTTTTTTGTATCTCATCAGCATTATATTTCGGTACTTTTTTTTTCCAACTTTCTTTTCGTGTTTACTCAGTCGGCCCTTGTGTCGGAATGTTATACTAAATTATCCAGTACCGTTTATACTATGTTTCTGAAATTTTGACATCGACTACAATGTGTAACTTTAGCCCCCGATTCTAATTTCTTTTTTTTAAAATTAATTAGTCCGTCCGGAAGAGATGTTTAAAAATATTTTTCGGCTTAGTTTAAATAGCCATTAAATGAAACTATAGTTGATTCTTTTAATGATTTATTTGCATGCTCATTCTTCAGGTGGGCAGCGATCAGTTTCTAGTTCATAAAAATGTACTTGTTAGGATTTCCAAAGCTTTTGCCTTTATGTTCACGAACATGATGAAAGAAAAAGAAATCAATGATGTCAATATAATAGATAACGATAAAGATATCACGACAAAATGCCGCCGTTTGATTTTAATGGGGAAGTAGAAAACACCGAAATGGAGAATTTAGTGAACTTGTATTCAGTGGCTGACAAGTACCGAATTCTGGAGTTAAAAGATTTGTCATCGCTTTATCTATCAAAAACCTTAGGCCTGGACACTGTCTTAAATGTCTTGTAGCTTGCGGATATGCATCAAGACCATGCATTTGAAGGTGTTGCACGTAAATTTATTTATGCTATATGCAACGAAGAGTTTAATCCTGGCAAGTGGAAGTACTTAAAAAGTGGAAATGATTTGTATACTGTAGTTAACGTTGTAGTTCGTAAAGAGATGAAAAAGTTAAATTGGTGTAAATGCTATAGAGTGGAGACACCACATCTTTCCTTTTTATATGCAAATAGTTTATTTAGTGCAAAATAAAATATTTTGTTAACTAACTTTTATATGTAATAAAAATATTGTACGGCAATATTCAAACTGTATTTTTTATTGCAACTTTATAATTGAAATAAAAATTCACATTAGACTGATTGGTTCAATTTAAATAAAGTTGTTAAATGATTGCAGCGGGACTGGTTTTTATTACTAATCCCCCTGATCGCTGAACGCATGGACATTTCCAATATTTTTCCAAAAATAATATTAATAATGTGATAAGTGTGTTTTACTTTGAATATTTTTCCACAGCTAACAATTAAGTGGGATGTTCCATAATAACTGCCCTTAATACACACATTTAGAATCTTTTTATGATAAAGACAAAGTTAAAAAAATTAAAAATTATTAAGATGTTAGAGGTTGTGAATTATTATTTATGTTAGGAGGCGGGAAAAAACGATACCGAAGCCCATTGAATCACTACTGAAAAGGTGGGACTAAAAACTTCAAAACCAATTTAATTGCTGGTGGAAACAGAAGAGTTGAAAAGCTACTAACAGAAACACCTCCTAGTTCCACCAGGCAATCAAACTATTTTTGGCATATCTCTCTTCACCTTTCTTGCTAGTAATTGTACCGATTTCTGTATCGTTTTTGTTGTTATTTTAAACTGAATACTGATTTGCAATTTTTACTGTGTATGCTATTTGAAGTTTATTTTTAAAAAGCATTCTAAAACTATACATTAAGATTTATAGTCAAGGAACACCAGCCTATAAAATTTCTTGCACTAATCTTGTTTTAGTATTACGAGAAATACACAAAATGAATGCTTAGTGGGAATGCGTTGGACACGAATTCGAAACTTAAAAGATTGTAATAATTGTAATTTGCTCTAAATACTAAGTGCGTTTGATAATACATTGATATCTTTTAATAAATTTCCTGCATAAAGACTACTAAAAATGCTTAAACTTTCGCATTTAACTTAATCTTAAAATTGCAACTGGAATCGCAAAATTTTTAAATTGCCATAAAATTTAAGAAAATAAATACAAAAATAATAAAGAAGTTTAATTAAAAATACATTAACCTTAAAATGAAGGTTAAGTTTTATAATAAAAGAAGAGTGCAGTTACTAAGTAGGTTTATTGATTTATATTATACTCAAATACATATGAATTGAATGAATTTGAATTCGCAAATCCAACCAATAATGCACTCTTTTTTTCCTCATGTTCAGTAGGGAAAAATATTAGCTTAAAACATGTAATAATAGTACTTACTCTTACTCCACAATGAAGAGGTAATATAAAACAATTATAGAACTTCATAAATAAAACAAAATATTTTAAAACACGATTATAATTAAATATTTATTTTGTTTCAAACTTATAACCTTTTTTTGACAGAACAACACTTATGTGAACCTTTTCAATTCATAACTGTTTTGATCATTCTGAATTATTTCGGAGAAAAAATTCCTTTTTACTATTTAAAAACGAAGTGATTAAATATTACTGTATTTTTATTGAACGAAGCGAATGTGATTTTCAAACGTAAACTGTCTTTTTTCTTTTTTTTTTCGAAAAAAATATTAGTATATTTCGTGAAAGTTACCCCAACAAGCACACGACTTTTGGGCTAGTGAAGGGACAATGTCGGCTCTCCTAAAGTGCCATTACGGCGGGCTTTTCATTGCCGTATCGGTTCCGTTAATAAAGTGAAATCTGGGCCAGAATGAGGGCCAGTGCATGGCATTTCAGGCAAAGCGACCGCAATCGTTAAAGGACCGGAACTAGTTTGTTGCCTCTGGATTACTTTGCCATTTTTGCCTGTTAAATACCGGAAAAAAATTTTTTTTTCACAGAATAAAGAGAAAATTGCCGTAAAGGCTTTTATTGTACCTTTATGATGTCTTTTTTGCCTTTTTATCAAAAGCTGAATATGTTCACTGGCACACGTCGTTGCCTCACTTGCCGTTAAGGCACCTTAACTGTTGGCTGATTAGAAAACGTCTATGCCGTTTTCGCCCGTATCGCACCTTTATTTCAGGTGCTTAGGCGAACTTCTTTGCCTTATTTGCCGGCGTACCACCCTTAACTCACCTCAAACTCAGTTTNAAAATTTTGTTTGAAATTATGGTCGTGGTTTCCATATTCTAACTTATATGGTAAATCGTCGAGCAGTCCTTATATTTTGTTCAGAATGATAAAAATCAACTTTTTCTCCCATGCTGCGTTTTTTTAATAAACTTCTTAATATTTTTTTGTAAACATTTAAACAAATTTGCTATATCTGTACCAGGATCAGCATGAATTTAATTGCTGGATTTAAATTATGATTAATATCGTGCTTTAAATCACTTGATTTTTTTTAAAAAAATTCATGGATTTAAATCAACCGTGATTTTTTAAATTATTAATTATTCAATCACTTGATTTTTTAAAAAAATCACTGATTTAAATCAACCGTGATTTTTTTTAATTATTGATTTAAATTTATTTTTGTATTTTTTAAACAATTGATTTCTTTTAAATAAATTATTAAGTCGGAAATTATATTAACAAAACACTGAAACCGAAATGTAGAAGCAAGTTTCTTTTTAATGATTTAAAATAATAATAATAAAAAAAAAAAAAACATAAAAAAANTAATAATGATAAAAAAAACATTGTTTAAAATTATGGTCGTGATTTTTATAATCATATTCTCGCTTATTTGATAAAACGTTGAGTAATCCTCATAATTCATTCAGAATGATAAAAATCAACTTTTACTCTCAAGTTGCGCTTATCATTTATAGCGAGAGAATTTAGTTTAGATCAAAGAGAACACGTGATAACAGGTGAAATATTGTGTTCCTAAAAACGCCTTCGAATATTTTCCGTTCTAATTCGGTGAATCATAAATGATCACCAGACGGTTATGTCAGTAAAACTCGACACTATACCATACTTGCAGATGGAGTACGCAGACCAAATACCAATATCTCCGGTAAAAACTTTTATTTATTTAATATATATATATAAGCAATTTTATGCAAATTGTTTTACTAACTCTTCTAATGAATAATGTGAAAAAACTGTGATAAAAGAAAAGAAAAAATAAATAAATAATGTATAAATTGTAATAATTATCCCTAAAAAGAAATGAAAAAAAAAATTAAATAATGTATAAATTGTAATAATTATCACTAATAACTCCCTAATAATTATCCCTAAAAGGAAATGAAAAAGAAAACAATTAAATAATGTAAAAATTGTAATAATTATCACTAATAACTCCCTAATAATTATCCCTAAAAGGAAATGAAAAAAAATAATTAAATAATGAATAAATTGTAATAATTATCCCTAAAAACTCCCTAATAATTATCCCTAAAAGGAAATGAAAAAAAATAATTAAATAACGTATAAATTGTAATAATTAACTCTAAAAGGAAATGAGAAAAAAAAACAATTAAATAATGTATAAATTGTAATAATTATCACTAATAACTCCCTAATAATTATCTCAAAAGGAAATGAAGAAAAAACAATTAAATAATGTATAAATTGTAATAATTATCACTAATAACTCCCTAATAATTATCCCTAAAAGGAAATGAAAAAAAAAATAATTAAATCATGCATAAATTGTAATAATTATCCCTAAAAGGAAATGAGAAAAAAACAATTAAATAATGTATAAATTGTAATAATTATCACTAATAACTCACTCAATGATTAGTGAAAAACTTATGCATAGTTACATGCTATGGCAATTTTTCTAACGTATTTTTTCTATTAATTAATGTATTTTAATTTTTTGTTTTTATAATTCAGTTTATCTTTAGATTAGCTATTTCTTTACCAAGGCTAATCTTAAGCTGAAGAGAATATCTCACTTTTTATAACTTTAATTTATAATATTAACATAACATTTTTTTTATAATATTAACTCAACTTTTATAGATAATTTATAAAATATCTTTATATGATGTTAACATTATATTTTTAATAATTAAGTATTTTGCAAAGATAACGAATTTAAAATTGAACGAATGAAATTACAGAAATAAAAATTGAAATTAAATAAAAAAAATACTATATTTGGAATTTCACTGTGACTGTAATGAGATAAACTAGGAGTTAAAGATTAAACATTATATGTATATACATTAATAAATACAACTCAAACGTTCGATTATTCAATTAGAAAATCAATCTAATAGCACTTTTGAGTACATAATATAAATAAAAGTAAAATTTCTTTGGCGTAACAAATGGAAACTAACTTTACACTTAAAACTTCAAATTTTAGTTTTTTACACTAAAAATATATTCTTTATATTCCTTTGCTTGATTTTTCTAATAAAAAAGGCAAATACTTCACAACTTTTAAATAAATAATCCCAATAAACTGAAGCGGTAAAATATTTCTTGATTAAAAACTTCATTCGCTTCAAAAAATACAAATCGGAAATAACAGTCAACATGTGTTTCAACGTTTAAAAACAGGCTTCCATTTTCAAGACTTGCCAGATGTATATGAGAGGAAACAAAAGAGATTTGAAATATAAAACTAAAAGTTGCCCGCGGAAAATAGAAAAAATATAATTTTTTTAAGTATTCGTATTTATTTGCATATTTTTTTTTAAAACGAATAAAGTTTTTAATCGCGTAATTTCGAAACTTATTTAATTTTAATCTTATTAAAATTCCAATTTCATTCTAAACACTCTTCAAGGTTTATTCTTTGTATTTAAAAGTAATAAATTAAAAATAAAAACTTAAAAGTATATATTGAGCGAAATATATTAAACAAAATATATTTATTTATTTCAAATGGCAGAGGTGAATTGACATGTTATAAAGCAAAAACACAGGAACAAAACAAGAAAGTAAAAAGTCAACAAGCATAAGGAAAACAAAATATATTAAACAACGCATTAAATTCATGCTCGGTAAAAAACTGAACTGATTATGCAAATTCAACAATGCGACAATAATCTAGTTTGAACTAATATTAATCACTCTTTTGTGTTTGGAGTAGCTACCGTGATAAAGATATAAAGGGTTTCGATTTATGTCATAATGTTATCAACATTTCGGTGATAAAAAACTTTTTTTTAAAACTTGCAAATTAAACTATGCAGTTAAATGTACTTTATACCAAAATACTAAACGGCTTAATGCATTGCCGGAGCATTATGTCAGTTAATAATTTTCAACACTAGAGTTTATAAATTGTGAAATATCAGTGAATTGTTAGTATTTAAAATTTTGTTTGTATATTTTTTTAAATAATCCAAAACATTTGAAAAAAATAAAAATCATGCTGTTTAGTAGGGGGTTTCTTTTCACCTTTTTTTTTCTCCCTACACTATACAGTTGCAATCAAAATTTCGAATAGTCATGTCTTTTAATCACAAACTAAATCGAGTTTGCCACAATGACTTCTTGCGTGTTTTGAATGTAAAACTGTCATTGTGTTATGGAATATTAAAAATAGCAAATTTTATGTAATATAAGGATATTTCGTTTTGTTTCAATTTTATTTTCTGATTTATTTCATTCCATTTTATTTTCTATTCTGATGATGGTATGGTGTTAACAGTAAGTTTTCGTTTTTATTAGGCTTTTTATATTATACTTAACTAATATTTATTGGATATTCATAGAACCTATTTAATGTTCGATGCAAAATAACATCGTTCCACATACTTTATTATAAACGCATGCTTAGTAAATAATGATTTTTTTTCTTTTTTGAAAATATAACTTGGTATCCTTTATAAAATTACTTAAAATGACTTTTCCACAGCTATAATCCTCTAAATTTTGAAACACTGGATTTTTTTAACATTAACAGTTTCTTAACAAATATTTCATCAGTAATAATTTAGAATTATAAAAAATACCGAAAATATAAATTTTTAAAGCTTTGATAAGTCGATAATTAATTGCGTTCAGTTTCTTATTCTTTGAAATAATTATTATTTATCAATAAAAACAGACATAGTAATTTTTTGAGATAAAAATTATACAGTAGAAATCGTTAGTAAGTTGTTTTATTTCTAGTTTTATCACGTTTTTGGTAAAAGAAATTTTTTTTATGAATCAATATATCAATAACAGCATTAATGTTGAAATTGAATCTGCATTGTTTCGCAATGGTATTCAAAATAAATAAATAAATAAGAATGCAATATTTGTATTCGGTGCGAATTATGAACAGAATTCGAACCTGGGTTGGGAGGCTGACGCTCTATCCCCAAAACCATTACAGCTTATTTAAAAATACGAAATTATTATTTTTATTTAGGATAACAAAGAAGAAAGGGAAGATGGTGATTCAAAAAACAATAAGAAAGGGCTGTCATTTGTCACAGCTGCTTTTTTCATTGTTGGAGAAATGGCAGGCAGTGGAGTATTGGTTTTACCAAGGGCTATAGCAGATGCGGGTACGTCAGTATTACTTTCATTATCTTACGAAGTGATAAGGCTAAATTAAAAATTCTATCTTTAAAAATAATAATAATAAATATTTTAAATACTTTATATGTAATGAACCAATTGTTGTCATTCAATTTACAAATAAAAGCATCTAGAAAGATAGGTCAATTTTTCATCAAGAAATAGTGGCTCCTGGCTTTCCTAATTTAAAAAAAATATTTAAAAAATGCTAAGCAAATGGTAAATTTATGCTATTTTTCTTTTGAAAATCAATAAAAAATTATAACATTTTAGTAATAAAAGTTATGATATTTAATTCAGTTACAATTGATATCACAATGAAACAAATTTGCTTTGGAAGCTTCCCAGACCATGCAATTTTCGTCCCCAAGAACTATGTGCAAGAATAATTAGAGCAGTTTTACATGAAACGTGTTCGTATGAAATGTAGTGATCTGAACAGTCTCTTTTTTGTTATTAGAAATAGTAAGTTTAATTAAAATTAATCACTAACCGAACAAAAGCACATTTTGATTAATAGATATAAATAGCTGTTATGAATATAGATCTTATTTGACGAGAAATGGAATCGGCCTTTGAGATGTCGGGTAAATTATTGGATCCGAATGCTGCATCGCTTTGTCATGTGAAGAATATTGTAAATGTTGTTGAACGTTAATTCCTTATAAAAAATTTCGTTGTAGAGAAAGTTCGCTGAAGGGAGACTCTTTCATTGATGCTTTTTTCATAATAAATCATTTGTCCTTTTATACTCGTACGGGTTCTTCCATACTTTTCTTTATTTCGCAAGAAATTTTGCATTCATACTATGATATCCATCGAATTTTGCTGTCCTACACAAATTTTTAAGCTACTAATAATAGCAAAGCAAACTGCTTTAATCTCTTTTTTTTAAAGTAATATATAATTTGATATTTTAATGACAGACCAGCAGCGATTGCATCTTTTTGATTTTATTATTCGTAGTATTTACAATATTTACACTGCTGCAATAGTAATAATTTAAATTATTAGATTCGGAAAGTTTGTAATTGCTCACTATATTCAAAGACAGTCAAAAGCCATCTCGCGCAAAGTTGGCGAGATCGTCGAAATTTCTGACGCGCATGCGTCAAAACCACTTTTTTGTATTTTATATAGTATTGAAATTACAATCTTTATGTATACCACGGTAAACATGTTTTCTGCACCGAAATTAATTTTTAATTAACTAACAATTTTAAATATATAAATTCAAATTTTGTTCCGTTAATCTTTTTTTACAGGTTGGGCTGGTGTTTTTCTTCTGATATTTTGTTGTTGCAATGCGTTATATGCTGGCATTTGCTTGGGCCGATGTTGGCAAATACTTGAAGAAAGATGGGAAGAATACAGAAGAAAAAATAGATATCCATACCCTGCAATTGCTTTTAGAGCCGGAGGTTCAAAATTGAGGTATATATTTTGCAGCAATAAACTTTTTCTTTCCTTTAACAAAGTTTTCTGCTTATATTTTTTAAGCCTTTTTTCAAAAAGAAAGTCACTTTCCTATACATAGAAGTTTAAGTGTCTGATTTCGTAACATAAAATATCGTCTGCAAAAATTATTTTTGCCTATTTAAAATATGTCGTTCGAATCATAGATATTGTATTCTCATTACCATGAGAGGTAAACCATCAGAAGCATAAATTATTGCTAAGGTAAATATTTCAAACTGTTTCAAATATTTCAAACTGTTATATTAATGTTATATTTCTAACATTTTATAATATTAATATAACAGTTGAATATTTCAAACATTTCGAATTGTTAAAATCTTCGTAATTATCAATTTTAATCGAATATTTTATTGTTATTTAAATCACTTTCGTATTTCTTGAAAATGAGTTTATTTGGATCATTAGTAGGACGCGTAGAAGAGGGGGCTTATCATTAAAAATCAAACATCAGAAGCATAAGTTATTTAATTACAATTATTTTATTTCGACGTCAAAAGAGGGGAGGGGGGAAGAAGTTTAAATTTGTTTCTTTCGTGTGTAACTATTATGAGTACATTTTTGTCTTTAAACAATGTGCAATATTTCCCTTTTCGTTATTTGTTTCCCTTTTTAGGTACTTTGTCTCAATTTGTCTCGAAATTAATCTCTTGGGAGTTTCAATTGTTTTTCTTCTACTGACTGCTCAATTGATATCGAATCTGGCTGCACAGTGGGGTGTAGCATTCTGCTACTGGGTCATCATTATGGCAGTGGTTTTGTGGCCTCTCATGTGGCTGGGAACTCCCGAAGACTTTTGGTGAAGTAAATTTAATTTATTTTTAAAAATATATTCTATTTGTAAATGAGTGTTTACTATCTGAATAATCAAGGTAATAAAAGAGGAAGAGTGTATCTTAAATTTACAGCTGTATCTTTAATTTACAGCTGTGTTTAATCAAAAACGAGTGTTACTTAGAGTTAATTGCGCGTTCTTTAATATCTATTTATGCTTATGCTTGATTTTTTTCTATATATTACGTAAGCACAAGTTAGGTAAAAGTGAATGGCATGCGGGAGTGATGTCACCGAATTTATTCACCTTCTTTCCTTAAAAAAAAAAAAAAAAAAAAAGAGAAAATGCTCAGCCTNACCCGAAGACTTGAGGTTCTCTTCTGACGTCATAGCATTGAAGTGACTATTTCCTTTTTTTTTAACTTTTTGGGTTTGTTTGTATATACTCTGAATTAATATTAGTATCATGTTTTTGCGAAAAAATTTGTTCTTCATATTTTGAAATATCAGATAAAGATAAGAAAAAAAGTACAGGGTGTTTATAAAGTCCCGGACCCATTTTGATGTTTGATAACTCATAAAATAATAAAGGTAGATTAAAATTAATAACATAAATGGTTAGATAGACTCAAAAAGTTTCTTGACCCTTGTCAATGAACTTCCACATGTGCCCCCTTCGGATATATCAAGTCGATAGTCAATTTCAAGCCAGGTAGCGGCAAGCATGTCGGCATCCACAGAAACTATTGCGGTTGTAATTCTGGCTGCTTTCTCTTGTGGTGGATACGCATTTTCCTTAATATCCGCTCGAATAAAACATCACATAGGAAAGTACTACATAGAACAAACACATCAAAAGTAAACATAACATTGCAATAGTTGCCAAAAACAAAAGAGAGAAAAATGCAGACGATAAATAAGCAGACGATATTTAGAAAAGTACAGATATTTAGACTGGAAAATGAAATAATCTGAATTTAACCACATATTGACAAAAGTAAAGATATTCAATCCTGAAAAGGAAAATATATGAATTATTCCATCAATAAATGCCATAAGATTGTTTATATCTTCGTTATTTTATGAGTTATTAAACATCAAAATGGATCCGGGAATTTATAAACACCCTGTACTTTGAGAAACTATCCTATATTGATACGCAATTACCTAATCGTTGAGATGCGGATATACGCAATTTAGTTTACACCAGCAGAAATTCTTCTACCGGAAGTTGAAACAATTTCTACAAATACTGCCCCCTACCGTAGTGAACATGGAACAAGATAGGGAATAGGTGATATTCTAGTTAATTTAAAAACGTTTAAAAAAATACTTGAAAAAATTACCAGTCACTTTATATAATACTAAGCAAAATACGTTTTTAGAATATGAACTCATCAAAAGAGAGAATAATTTATACGCGAACTAAGAATAACTTATACTCGAACTAAGTTTAAAAGATTATCTCGAAAGATTAACTGTTTGAAAGAAAATGATGTTATTGATCCCGATCAACACTCGATAGTCAAGAATTACCACACTCAAGTAATTTTTCTTATGAATTGGCACTTTAAAACAAAATTTAGTTATTTAATTTCAAGTACCGTTATTTTTACATAATTTACATAGATTAACTATTTCTCAAGGAAAATGATGTTATTGATCCTAATCAACATTCGATAGACAAGAATTACCACAATCGAGCAAATTTTTTTTTTTAAGAATTGGCAATTTAAAATAAAATGTAGTTTTTTTTATTTATTTTAATTGGATATACTATAGCCAACGTCACAGGTTGTGCTATTCCTACTAAATTTAACCCATGAACTGCATTTTCTGCGAGCCTAACTTCAAGCCACAAATAAACAAACGAAGTGTTTGATCGTTTAAATAGCTGCTCGCCAGATTTTATTGCATTATAAAGAAAAGTAATTGATATTCGATTTTTGATTAATAATTGATTTATGTGGATAGTGGCATTTATGTGGATAGTGGCATAGAATTTAGCATTGCGTCATGGTAAATGTTATTCCTACTAAGTGGAAGTAGTTGTGTTTTTTTTTATATTATACCCAATTGCTCTTTTTTAAAACCGTAACTATAAGCAAAATAAGTATATTTATATATTTTTCAAAATACTAATTCTGTGATGCGGCTGCCTTATGCCAACCACGTTGATTTTACTTCTGCTCACCTCGCATAAGGAAAAGTAATTAATTAATTAGGAATTGAAACAAATTCTTAGTGAAACTTGTTTTTTAAACAGAGCTATAAGTAAGCAAAAGTTTCTGATGATATCATTAAAGTAATGAAGAAGAAAATATTGCCAATAAATTAATCTTTTGACACAGAATTTTTGTTAACATATTTTTCATACTTTTTCACTTATTTTAAGGTCAAAATAAATTGAAAGTATTATANAAAGTAATTGATATTCGATTTTTGATTAATAATTGATTTATGTGGATAGTGGCATTTATGTGGATAGTGGCATAGAATTTAGCATTGCGTCATGTTAAATGTTATTCCTACTAAGTGGAAGTAGTTGTGTTTTTTTTTATATTATACCCAATTTAGTTTTTTAATTTCAAGTACCGTTGTTTTTACATAATTTACATAGATTAACTATTTCTCAAAGAAAATGATGTTATTGATCCTAATCAACATTCGATAGACAAGAATTACCACAATCGAGCAAATTTTTCTAAGAATTGGCAATTTAAAATAAAATGTAGTTTTTTTAAAATTTATTTCAATCGGTTTTTTTTAAAACCGTAACTATAAACAAAATAAGTATATTCATATATTTTTCAAAATACTAATTCTGTGATGCGGCTGCCTTATGCCAACCACGTTGACTTTGCTTCTGCTCATCTCGCATAAGGAAAAGTAAGTAATTAATAATGAATTGAAACAAATTCTTAGTGAAACTCGTTTTTTAAATAGAACTATAAGTAAGCAAAAGTTTCTGATGATATCATTAAAGTAATGAAGAAGCACTTAACTATACTCAATACTGAAGAAGAAAAAATTGAAAATAAATTAATCTTTTGACACAGAATTTTTATTAACATATTTTTCATACTTTTTCACTTATTTTAAGGTCAAAATAAATTGAAAGTATTATATTTAATATTTAAATAGTTTATAGTCATGAAATGCAGCATGAAACACCGGTCCATTTTTCTACGTAAAGGTAAAATCTTCACTCTCACTTTCAAACAATAGTATTTAAAATTTGCCCTTTTTTTGCAGTTATTTAGATCTAAGAGAAACAGTTATTCGTCGTTGAAATTTCTTTAATTTACAAAATCAATTAATGATAAATTTTTGAATGTGAATAAAAAAAAAATTTAATTCTTTTCTTTTTTTTTGGATTTGCCTTTTGGTTCAAATGTAATTTCTATAATGTAACAGTTTTTGTTAGTAATCATTGCATTTTTTTTATAATTAAATATTAAAATATACTTTTGCTCTTAATTGAAGAGTCAGAAAAAAATATTCAAAAACGACATTGGTGTCCCATTTGTGTCAAAATGATTAAGAGCAACAGTACAAAATGCTAATCGCATTTTTTTTTTATAATTTTGTAACCGTCATTGAACAGCCGACCAAATTTTCAATTTACAACTACCAGTGTTCAACTCCGCTTCCTTGTAATTTTGAACCGATTTCAGAAGACAAGGGAACTCCTGAATCAAGTATTTGGAGGAATTTGCCTTTGTGGAGGACTTTTTGATGGAACTTACCAGCATTTGCTGTACATGGTGTGGAAGACCACGAAAACCTCCCGCGGTAAGCTGGATGGTAAGGAGACGCTGTCCCATGATCCGTCTACCACTGAGGATATTTTACGTTAGTACCGTGTTCCGTGCAAGCTGGGTGCGGAATTCGAACCCACCAGCCATTTCCGGGATTCGAACCCGGTTCACCTCATTTTAAGGGGAGCGTTCTCTCCCCTGAGCCACCACGGCTCATGCTAATCGTATCAGAAAAATTAGCTTTCCACTTGTCTCTCGAACGATTTATTGAATTTTGATCGACTCTCAGCATTAAGGGAGTATATGTCCCGCCTATCTGCTTTCCAAGCCGCAAATAGATTGTTCTAGAATTGTAAGCGAAACATATACAAACTCTTTCCTACATTTTTATAAGTTTACGGTGCTATTTTTAAAATGTAACGAATATCTAATATTGCTTAAAATATAATTTACTTTAATATATTTTAGGCTTGCCGCTGTGGCTGCAGTTCTATGCACAGGACTTGCCTGCATCCTTTTAATAATCGCAATAGCTGAACATGGACAGGTTCTGCCCTTCAAGCCGACCTATCCTTCCCCTTCAGTGGAATCTTTCTTCCTATCTTTTGGAACAATTTATTTTTCTTTTGGTGGAGCAGCATCTTTTCCTACTTTTCAAAATGATATGGAAGACAAAACGAAGTTTCCAATGGCAGCTATAACTGGTTTTGCAAGTAAGATTTAAAGATACTGATTTATCTCATGTTATTCAATTTTTTTTAAAAAAAGCAAAAAGCGAAATTCAAGTAAAAAAGTACCCATGAAACTTCTAAATGAATTTTGAGAAAAACTGTTAATAATATTTAGCTTTATAAAGAAGTTTTGTAAGTCTTGTTTACTATGAATAATTTATTTTTCCGCAGCCATTATTTTCTATTTATACAATAAAATAAACATTAATAATGCAATAAAATAATCGTTTAATTAGTACGGTTTATTGAGCATATTAATGAAATCAGCATTAAATTATTATTAAATTAATACGCATTTTCGAGTATTGTAACTCAGTATTGTATTGTTTCGAGTATTGTATTGTACTCAAGTGTAAAAGTTTAGATTTTCCAACTTATGGAGATGCTCATATTCGTAACACCAGTCGTTTCTGTTGAAATAATTAATATAAATGGTGTAAGAAAATCATCACAGAAAGAATAAGACTGGAGTATCATATCACAACGAGCTTTTCAACAAATTTGACAACTTTCCGTAACTGGAGAAAAGTCATGAAAAACAAAGTGGCTTTTACTAAACGACTATAAACTTCCTGGATCTTATGGCCTGTTTACACGATTCAAGTTTTACGTTCAAGAAGCGTTCAAGATTGATTGATATTGATGGAAATCTGTTTTCATCGATGTTGTACCGTGTAAACGATTCGTTCAAGNGCCTTTAATCTCACAAAGAAAACTGGCAAAAATAGACTGCAAAAAGTAACATCATTAGTCCAACGACACAAGCATGGTATAGTGGTCTTTAGTTCTTAATGAAGTGAAACAACCTTGATCCAAGAGTTATATATGATGTTTGACTACGCCATTTTTTGAAATAGTTGACATCATTTTCAGCGTTGAGATACGCTTAAATTTTTTACAGTGTATGTTCAACAATTAAATCTAACAAATTTAAAGATTGTAAAATTGGCTAATAATTATGCATCTAAAAGTGATTTTATTATTTTTCAGTTTTGTTCTTGATGTATTTTCCGGTGGCAGTTTTGGGTTACGATATTTACGGATCCAAAGTGACTGACAGTATTGTAGACTCTCTTCCGAATTCCGGACTTAAAACTACGATTATAATATGCTTAGCTCTTCATACTTTCAATGCTTTCTTAATTGTAGTCAATGCCTCTTCCCAGGAATTTGAAGAAATGTTTAAGATACCAAAGAGTAAGCTTTTTTTTTTACTCTAATTTCTGACTTTATTATAATTTATTTTCCCCCAATACGTGATAACAAAGAAAAAATCTTACATAGATAAAAAATTATTTGAAAATATTATGTAACGAAATTTAAAAAAATTATTATTTATATTAGGGAAAGTTGAGGAACACCGGAAAATTAGCATTCGAATTCTTCATGGAATCAAATTATTTGGGCCTTGATTTTTAAATATCCATTGTTTATCTGGATACAAAGATATTATTTATGGAAAACTTTGTTACAGCACCCTTTATACGGTTTTGTTTTTGAAAAATGTTAAATTAAATTATTTCACACTAAGTGGGAGATTTAATGAGAACTTGAAAGGGATAAAGAAAACGGAAAATCAAGATTTTTTAAATTCTCCGATACTTTTTCTAATGGTGAGGTAAAAATAGAACATGTCGACACACATGTCATCTCGTATTAAACCACTTTCAGAGATTTTTATGATTCAACAGAACAACTCAACTAATTGAATCAATCCTTAGTGTTTCTAAAAGTATAAATTTTAGTAAAAGTATTATGAATTTGACTAAAAATGTTTTTTTTATTTTATTCTAATGCATAAATATTGGCTTTCAAGAAGAAATAGTAAGAAACAAAAAACATTTGAGCCTAATAGACATAGTAAAACTAATTATTGTTTAATGATGCTCTGAGTTTGACAGCAATTACTTTTCAATATGGCCTGGTTTGTCCATAATTAGTATTGCTACTTAATTAGTTTGATCAGCCGTTTGGCATATAAGGCATCCAGTATACCTCACCATGTTACCTGATCTCAAACTTTTTAGTCCATTAAAACGCGCTTTCTGGAAATTTACACGCTTTTGTCTCTGCCTTTGTTCTAGGTCTTCCTCTTTTTCCTCTCGAGCCCAAACTAGCGAAACATGTGAACATTTCGGTTTTAACATTTTTAGCATACGGCTGGACCATTGTTACCTTCTATTGCTTAATTATTCTTTTATTGTAATACTAATTCAGAATTTATTTTAACTCACTAAAAAAAAAAAAATTGAAATTTGCTAAAACAAATGTGCCTACTTTTCATCTTAATTTGCATCTGATAATTTTTTTTAATAGATTTATTGTGTTATCTTCTTATAATTAGAATTTTGATTGCCTATTTACTCAGGGTGCGTAGCCAAATCTTTCAACAAAAAATAAGCACCTTTTAAGTACTTTTTAAGCACTAAAAATATTTTTAAGCACCATATACATCAACAAAATGCAAAATAATTTTTTAAAACATTGCATGATCATGATAAAATAATTACTTTCTGACATAAAGAACTCTTTTCTTGATTATATTAGCCACCACAAAAAGATCGAGAGATTTTCAGTTCGATTTCAGAGGGTGGAAAATGAATATCTTGCAAAATGCAGCAGACTTGCACATGAGCGAACAAGATTCTCACCGAACCCAGTTCAGTCAACGTACATGCGGACTTTCAAGTATTTCATCAAACATGTAAAATGATTGGCGCTTTCATATGTACCGACGGAGTGCAGAAATGCATTGTGCTTGAAAGAATTATGAAAGCGTTGAATAGAGCAATGTGAAAACCATGCTTTTGCATAATACGTGGCGAAAATCGACACAGTGAAGAAAAAAATCTCATTTTCGAAAAGGGAAAAATAAGCACTTTTTAAAAACATCCAATAAAAAAAGCACCTTTAAGGGCTTTTAAAAACCGAAAATCAAAAATAAGCACTTTTTAAAAACGCTACGCACTATGTTACTACATGCTTATGGTTTTCTATAAAATTATTTTTTTTCTGTCACAACAAGGATGTTTTAAATTTTATTTGTATCTATATATATTAAATTGAAAAATTGTACACATTTTGCTCATTTATTTATTTTATGTACTTTTTATTCTACAGATTTTGGGTGGAAGAGAATAGCCTGCAGAAGTGCATTGCTTGCATTTATATTTTTCATTGCATGCTCTGTTCCAAAATTTGATAAAGTTCTTAATCTAGTGGGAGGATCAGCAGTAACATTAACAGCTTCTGTCTTCCCTTGCTTATTTTATCTGCTTCTGTGTGCTCAGAGAAGTCCCGAGTGGCCTGTCAGGTGATTATTTATTATTCATTCATTGGTTCATTTTCAGCTCAATAATTTAGAAGAACACATTAAAAGTTTTGATAGTAAACATTTGTATTCGTTACAAAAACCCCTGCAACCGTACAAGAATCAATATAATTATTAAAAAAATAATTTTTTTGCTTTTTGTAAAAAGTTATAGTTATTTTTCCCCCCTTCAAAATCCTGAATCGGCCATATTAAGCTATTCATACACGCTTTAGTTGAAACGACTAAGACGTCACCGTGATGATTATTTAAATTAGGATTTTGAAGGCCGTCAGTTCATACCTGATGCCTCGTTATTGGTGACCTGGACGAGATATGAACAAATGCCTCACTGGATATCAGCTATGCATCACTTTACAGTCTACTTTAACTAATTTACTCTATTTCTTACACTTGATATGTCATCGATAGAAATCATAGGTAAAAACACTATCGTCACGAATTCTATCTTTAACAATTCTTCTTGTGACAAAAATATTTTTTTTAAATGAAATATTCTTGTCAATAACAGAACTGTTCTAAATTGCAGCATCAAGAGCAGTTTCTTATTTTATTATTTTTTTATTACCGTCGTTGAACAGCCGACCCAATTTTAGGTTTACGACTACTAATATTCAACTCCGTAGCCATGTATTTTGAACCTAATATAGAAGACAATATCAAGTATTGTGATTAATTCGTCTTCGTGGAGGACTTTTTAAAGGAACTAACTCACATTTGCGTTACATGGAGAGGAAAGAAGCACGAAAACCTCCTATGGTTAGTCTGACGACAAGGGGACTCTAACCCATGATCTGTCAACCACGGAGGATATTTTGCTTCCGCACTGTGGTTGCTGCGAGTCGGGTGCGGAATTCGCATCAGCCAGACATCGCTGGGATTCGAACCCGGTTCACCTCATTGGAAGGCGAAAGCTCTATCCTCTGAACCACCAACGCTCATCAAGAGCAGTTAAATCAACTTACTGAGCCACATTCGATCCTTTAATGCTCTACTTCCCCAATTGCGCTATTCTGTAAAGGGGTGTGTGTAGCGAACGTCTTGTGAAGCCTTTAACTCCTGAAACCGGTAAGCACATAAAATTATACAGCTGACGAACGAGATTTAGTTCCGCTTCTTGCACTGTTTATCTCTCCTCAAAATTTTTTTTAAATTTACCCTATTATGCTATTTATTTATATTGCTAAAAGAAGAAACAGAAGATATCAGATTTAAAATACCGACAATAATTTTTACACAATCAATTAGTTCTGAATATCATATACAACTATTTTTTCTAAGTAAAAATATTATACTCCTTATATTTAAAAAAAAGCAAACATATATCAGTTTTAGACATGAAAATTTGTAACCGTTATGAGCGGACTTGAACGAAAAATATTCTTCAGTAGAAATTTTAGTGCAACAAGTTTAATGAAATATTTTTATTTTTGAAAAATAATATTGATATACATGCTAAATAGATGCTTTTAGAATTTTAAAAGAAAACATTTGCATGATCACCAATAATTTAAAAAAATTTCAGGGTCAACATTTTTACGATAAATTTATCTTTCATTTTATTAATGTCTTGTTACATTTAACATTTTGTTTTGTTTATTTTAGGCATATTCCGATACATGAAAAAGTATACTTAATAACAATCATTGCTTGTGGTATAATCGGAGGTATTATTGCAACATATTCAGCTTTTGATGGTATATTGAAAATGTCATCTTTTAACCCTCCTTGTTATGTAAATATAACAGCAGCTGGAAGATTTTCATAAATACTGTCACGACCTACAGTTTGAAACTTCAAATAATCATCATTAATCATCAAATAATCATTCAATAATTTATCTCAAGTATCAATTTTAATTTATCATAGAAATTTATAATTTATTCTTTCACCTTCAGCATTTTCATCGCCATTTATTGAAAAATGTATTTATACATTCCTTACATTTCATTATCATCATCATTAATATCTGATATTTTCATCAAGTCTTAATATTGTTAATCTCTTGTTAAATATGTTTTTATTGTTGTTTTTAAAAAGAATGATAATAAAGTCTTACATTTTATTAAGTAAAGGGTGTGAATAGCTGTTTCATTTTTGAAGAAGTAATTACTATGATTTGCAGGACAACTACTAATAGCCCGAAATATTTATAGTAGAAATACTAGCAGCTGCAGCATACTAACATCAAAATTGCAATAATTGCAATTTTGCAATAATTTTTAAAAATGATGAATTGCAATTCTAATCAATGTAATAATGTCTAATTAATGTCTTAATAATGCAATATTAGGAATTTGATAATTGCAATAATTGCAATTTTGATAACAATTGTAGTCGAAATTACAAAAAGCATGATTACAGATGGAGAAGAACTGACTTAAACGCATTTCGCTAACATTTCTTTAAGCGTTAGATAATATGATAAATTGGATAAAGACGCGAAAAAATTAGCCAAAGTAAAATACTTAATTAATTCCTAATATTATTTGTGTTTTTCTAAGTACTGATGTTGGCATAACAGGACAGAATTCGCCGATGGCTGACTTATCCTCCGAACTCTTCAAATTGGGCACTTGCACTTCAAGAAGAGGATCACTGATGCCCACACTTATAAGCAAAATGGCGTGTTAGAATGTTAATTAAATCACAAGTTAGAATGTTATTTAATGTGAAGTTAATTAAACACAGTGCCGATCACACATCAAATTTGTTTAAATAGAATTCTTTCTGGTCTACGTATTTTACTTAACGTTGATTTATTTCTTGTTTATGTATTTAATTGAAACCGTGATAAATTGTTGCTTTGTGTACCTGGCAACTTTGATGCATATTTAGTTTGTTTATGTTCCATGTGGCTTCGAGCCTGTCTTTGTATTAAGTAAGAAATATATCGTGAAAGGATTGAAAAATTTGTGAAAGTATTTTCACGAAATATAGAATGTGTCATTTAAGGGAATTGGTGCTTGACGGGCTTGGCTTACTCGAAAGAGAATGGAAGGAACAGTTTCTAACGTAAACAAATACCACGTTTCAACAACCAATCAGGATTGAGATACCCACACTACGTCACTTTCAGGTATCACATTGGGACGCAATTATCTTGATTTATTCTTGTCTCACGAAACTTTTGTTGAAAAACAAAATCTATTCCTTCTCATTATTGATATATGCTGCACAATAACATTCGCCTCCATATTTTTTGAAATTTTACGTACGACTGAAGAGATAACTAATGACAGAAAAAAGAAATTCGTCTTTGAGGAGTACTATTTAGGTAAAATTTATAAATCTCCAAGTTAATTACAGGCTAGAAAATAACCGTAAATACTACCTTTATTATGTTTAATAGGATCCTTATAAAAAATTAAAAAAAAGCCTATGTACATCAGGAATTGGAAGCCACTTTTTAAGCGAAAGTAAGACAAAAACACTATGAAAATCGATAGAGGAAGGCGAATGTAAATGCCATCAAAACAGGTTGAATTGGAGGTTGAAAATTCAATGTATTTAAAATAATCGCCTTTCAACTCTTTTTTGTGACTCCAAGTGTGTATACTTTCTTGTTTCCCTTTTTTAATGGATCCTGAAAATACATATTAAGGGCAATCACAGGACATCCTGTGTGTGTAGGTCAATAGCGACCAGTTAGTGAAAATTCTTAGAGATATTCTTAGAAATATTTAAACTTTGAATATAACAGTTGGGCTGAAAAGTTCGTATGCTGACACATAGATGGGGCGACTATTATTAAAAACATATGATTTTTAGTTAGTTCTAGCCTTCGAAAGACACGCGTATAAATTTGACAGCTGTCGGACTAACAGTTTGTGAGATATAGTATTTTTAGTGAAGCAACTTTTGTTAGTTTAAAAACAATGGATAAAACGGAATTTCGCGTGTTTATAAAGCATTGCTTTCCAGCGAAAAAAAATACTCTTGAAGCCAAGGCTTGGCTTGAGAAACATTATTCGAACTCTGTACCAGGAAAATCAACCATTGAGAAGTGGTTTGCTAAGTTTAAACGAGGCGAAATGAACTCCGACGAAGATGCGCACCGTGAACGCCCCAAAGAGGCTGTTAGCGACGAAAATATTAAAAAAGTCCACCAAATAGTTTTAGATTACCGTAAAGTGAAGTTGATCAAAATATCTGAGACTCTAAAGATATCAAAGGAAAGTGTTAGACATATCGTGAATGAATATTTGGGTATGAGAAAGCTCTAGGCAAAGTGGGTGCAGCATGAGCTCACAATTGACCAAAAACAACAACGAATTGATGATTCTGAGCTGTGTTTGAAGCTGTTTAATCGTAATAAATCTGAATTTATGTGTCGATATATGACAATGGGTGAAACATGGCTCCATAATTTCATACCGGAGTCCAATCAATCGTCAGCGAGTGAACTGCACGAGAAGAACCAACTCTAAAGCTTGGAAAGATGCAAAAGTCAGCAGGCAAAGTTGTGGCATCAGTATTTTGGAATGCTCATGGTTTAATATTCATTGACTATCTTGAAAAAGGAACAACCATTAACATCGACTATTACATAGCGTTATTGGAGCGTTTGAACTACGAAATCGCAGAAAAACGGCCCCATTTGAAGAAGAAGAAAGTACTGTTTCATCAAGACAATGCACCATGTCACAAGTCAATGAAAACGATGGCAAAATTATATAAATTGGTCTTCGAATTGCTTCCGCATCCACGGTATTCTCCAGATCTGGTCCCCAGCGACTTTTTCCTGTTCTGAGACCTCAAGAGAATGCTCGCTGGAAAGAAATTTAGCGCCGATGAAGAAGTAGTCACCGAAAATGGTATCGAAAAATTATATGACCGCTATAATCGTTGTATCGCACTTGAAGGAAACTATATTGAAAAATAAAATGAAATTTTATCACAAAATTTTTTGTTCTACGTTGCCTACGATCTTTTCAGCCCACCTGTTACAGAGAGCAAAATAAAAAACGAACCTTCCTGAATAACTTTTGATTTAATGATCGGATCTTCTCGTTCTAGGACTCAATCTAAATGGCGCGAGGGGGTGACCTCAAATATGTTAATTAAGACAGACGAAGTTACGAAGTCAAACACAAAAACGTACTTTCTCTAAATAAACCTACATTTTTTCGACAAATTGGGATTTTGACCCCAAAATATAGGGGGTAGCCACAACCTGAGAAATTTGGTCAGGAGAGCTCTCTAAAGTTTAATGCCTTAATGTTGATTTTACTTTTTGTATATTTCGCTGTATCTCGAGAACTTTTCAAGCGAACTGAAGCATTTTTGCTCACAGTTATCAAATTCGTTTATCCAAAGATAATCCTATGCAAAGAATAACTATCATTAATTTCTTATTTTTTTATTTAATAATGGTTGAAAGTATTTTGTAAGGCATACAATTTTTTCCATCATTTTTAAAAAATATAATTTTACACCGCAAAATAAAAAAATTTGAACAAAGTCGGTTGAATAGTTCCTGTGAAATCGAATTTTAAATATCCGACTTCTTTGAAATTCAATTTCTCAGGAAGCATTAAACCGATTTTACTCAAATTTTGCATTTTGCCTCTTAAAATTATTTTCTTTCAAAGGATGCAAAAAAAATTTGTTAAATCTTACAATTCAAATTTTTTTGACCATTATTAATTAAAAAATAGTAACAATAATAAATATTTACGCACTATACATTATTTATTTAAACTCAATTTGTATGGAATACACACGTTTAAATACGCTAGGTAAAATAGATAATAAAGTTGTAATTTTTTTAATTAAGAGTAACTTTAAACTTTGACTTTAAAACATCACCACAACTATACACATTAACGAAATTTAAATTTTATACTATTGTATGAATAATTAGTAATCAATATATTTTTCTTTTAAATAAGCTTAAAAATGATTATGGAATGAAAGATTACTTGGGTTTGGAAAACTAATCAAGTGCACTTGAAAACAGCATTAAAACAAAAGAATCCAGAATCTGTACACAATACTGAGAAATAATGTTTTCTTTTCACCCGAGAAAGAGATATGTATATTTCATACTGATATGATATTATTATTATATTATAACAGCCGTTGAACAGCCGACCTAGTTTTTGGGTTTACGATTACTAATGTTCAACTTCATAGCCTTGTAATTTTGCACCAATCCAGAAGTCAAGGGAAATCATGAATTAAGCATTGGAGAAATTTGCCTTCATGGAGGACTTTTTGATGGAACTAACCCGCATTTGCGTTCGATGGAGTGGAAGACCACGATTACCTCCCACTGTTAGCCTGACGGCAAGGAGACTCTAACCCATGATCTGTCTACCACTGAGGATATTTCACGTCCATACTGTGGCCGGTGCAAGCCGGATGCGGAATTAGTATCAACCATCCATCGGTGGGATTCGAACCCGGTTCACCTCATTGGAAGGACTCGATTGTGTATCATATTTTGTTGTTATGATAAATGGTAGCGTCATGGAATATCAAATTGATAACAGCTACCTTAAATCAATTAAAGTGAAAAATAAAACAAAATAAAAACATTATTGGTACTTGACTGCACCGGAAATAATCATTGGTTCTTGGTGCAGTGAAGTATCAAGAACCAAGTGTTATCTTGGTAATCTACACCACTTTGGTATTAGGTAATTGTCACCATATTCGGTATCGAAATACACTAAAATTTTTACAACGAATCGAACGAACGAATCTAATGGCCAAAGAATTTTTTACATCGAATTAATTTTAACAAAAAGTTGAACACTCAAGATAAAAAGATTATATCAACTATGTACGAAAATAATCATGCAAAAATGGCAACAGAAATTTTTATATTTAGTATGCAAAAATTCTTCATTGACATTATTTTCAAGTTTATCGTATTTAAAATCACTTTATTACTAAAATAAACTTAAAAAACTGAGATGTAAAATAATGCTTGTACTGATAAATGCTGAAAGAAATTGTACTCTTACAGCAACTTACTTTTCCTTTAACTATAGAACGTTTTAATAGTTTTTTTTAAAAGCAATATACAAAATCAGTATTTCTGTAAGGTAATAATAAAACCACTTT